TCGGATGCTTGTGGCGGCTATTGGTATAAACTTTTTCATGCAAGCTTCAGGCAATGATGCTGTTATATACTACACTCCTCAGGTGTTGAAGGCCGCCGGGATTCATAACAAGAAATTTATGTTTGGGGTGAATGTGATAATGGGACTATCCAAGACTGGATTTGTGTTGATTTCAGCTATATTTTTGGACCGTTTTGGAAGGCAGCCCCTTTTGTTCATTGGCACAACTGGAATGGTTGTGTCATTGGCTGTATTGGGCGCGGGCTCAAAGGTTCTTGAAAATTCTACCGATAAGCCATTGTGGGCTATTGTGATGTCCATAATTGCTGTTTGTGCAGATGTTTCATTCTTTTCTATCGGACTTGGGCCCATAACTTGGGTTTACTCTACAGAGATATTTCCATCCAAAATACGTGCACAGGCTTCGGGCCTGGCTATCTCGGTGAACCGGTTGGTGAGTGGGGCGGTGGCAATGTCGTTTTTGTCAATTTCGGAGGCTATCAGTTTTGGAGGGATGTTTTTTGTGCTTTCGGGAATAATGGTGGTGGCTAATATACATTTTTATTTCTTTTTACCTGAGACCAAAGGCAAGACTTTAGAGGAGATGGTGAAAATCTTTGAGAAGAATGATTCAAAGCAAGAAACATAGTGGGTGTGTTTGGGTTGATCATCAGCATTTCCAACTCAATGGCAACAACACATTTAAGGCTATTGTCTTCATCAATAAGATTGCTCATTTCAGTATTTTCTTTTTCTTGATAATTAACTAGGTTTAAAAGTAGCTGAGTAGCTATTGTAAATGTACTAGATCATAGAAATTCAGAATCTAGTGAAAATTTGTGCTAATGTTTCCTTTGTGTTTTAAATTCTTTAATACCATAACAAGCATAAGCTAAGAACTTATTCATATGATCATCTAGTGAATGTAAATAATTTGGAAATGAGATCAGCATTATTATTATTATGTGATTTCTATACTTAATAGATTAGTATTTTATTTCAATTGTCAACTACCTTTATAATTCAACTGAGCTACCTCAGTTTTTGGGCTCTAGAACTGTTGGTTGTGTAAGAGTCCTATTGACGACTCCTATTAGTTTTTAGGGGTTACTCAAACTCAAGAACTCATTAAACCTCTTTTTATTCTTTTATCATCAGGTCACATAGTGATAGTTGAATTATTTTTTCTTTCAAAGTCTGAAAACAGTGAAACTCAATATTTTGCCATTATTTGTACTTCTTTAAATGATTAAAGACAATTATTTCTGTTATAAGTTAATTATTATTTCTGTTATAAGTTAATTAAACTCATCAATTTTCGTATGTATTAAAAAGATAAATCAATGTCATTAATTTGTCAACTTCTAGCAAAGTTGGATGGGCTGATGATGCACTACAAAAGAATAGTCATCTTCATGACTATATAAATCAATTAACTAGGAATTATATTTATAATTTTCTTTTGCTTCACCCTTGGCCTTCCGAGTTCCGACTGTGAAATTGTTGACTGCACAGAAAGCTGCAGAGATACGTCTATGCAATTGCTTTTTCCTAACAAAGAGACGAGAGCAATGAAGTACCCGGTCCGAAGCTGAAAGCTCTTTGTTGAACTGCCCAGTCTGTACGCATATGTTAAATCATGTCTTCTTTTACAATACTGTTGTGCTTTTTCTTCTTTCCCTCTCAAAACATGCATGTTGAATTTCTTTCTAAATAGTTTTTATGAAGGAACGAATGTACAAGGGAAAAGAACAGGAACATATATATGGTCGACAAAGAAAGACAAAAAACTCTTGGGCACGGGTCCTGAATCAATTCTGATCCATTGCAGTGCTTGCACTATATTGACTTGCTGCATTTAGCAATGCTGTCATTCACTTTCTTTTGACCCCATCACTTTTCCTTTGTGTAGTGCTTAGCTTAAAAAGGAATACTCACCTGTTTGTTTCAGCACAGTTGATTCCATGCACATGTTCCTTTCGTTGCCCTGAATCTCAATAATCAAAACATAAGGGCCAATCATTCCTGGCTTTCATTTTGAAATTCCATTATACGGCCAAACCCTCAATCTTATTTTATTAGTCTTCAAATCAAGATGCATGCATTGATGAAGAAACTGATTATTAGTGTCTTACATTAAAAGCTTGCCTCGCTTAAAATTTGGTCTAATGCCGTTGTCTCGTCCTCGCAAAGTATATTTATGTACTCGTGTAATTAATTAGTGTCATATACAGAGATGGTTAGGTTAATCTTATAATTAACGAGGTGATCATGATGAGTGGTGGAAAATCATGTTGACCAGTCATAACCCAGGTGGCAAAGCACAACTCTTTGTCAAACTCTATCTCTAAAAAGCAAGATTGGAAAATCAAATTATGGGTTTGAAATTTTCAGAGCCTCCGAGTAATCATAGCCAAAAAATCAAGGCAGGAAAAAAGTAGGTCAGGAAATCTATATCCAGACGCATTTGTTTCTTCTTGTCATTATGCAAACTTCAATCTTGAAAAGCTGAATCCAACAACCCAAATCTGTCTGTTAGCTCTTGGTGGGGCGTGTCAAGTAAATGAGAACGAGCTTCACTCTATCATATGGTGTTTTTGTATTGTTGGAAGCTTCTGATGACTTAGAGATGCTATTGGGGAAGTAGCAAACCCAAAGAGAGAAAGGGCACTTGAGGCTTCCTTGACAATTTAACGTTGTATTACTTATAAGGGTTTACTCGACTATGAGCTCTTTGTTTATGGGGAATAGAGATTAGAGATCTTAATTTATATATAAGGAGTACGCTCTAAAATTCAACTTCTCGGTGTAGCCAAAACTTAAAGCTCTTTATTTGTCATTTAATTAACCTGCATCTTCGATCCAGACATGAGTGTTTAGACAAGTTTTTGCATATAATAAACTATATAAATATATATAGATCATTAAAACATTGAAAAGGTGACTCAAAAATTTTGACAGTATCAAACAAGGAAAAGGGGACAATATTGCCTTTGTCATTCACTCTAAATCTCACATTTCAAAATATAATACTCTTTTTCCTGCACTATTTCAATACACCAGTTCCCACAAACATGCATACATCATATTTATATTCTTTTCGTGGGTTATCAATAAGAGAATGGGGATGTAGAGAGATGATTTACTCGCATGCTTAAGACAATAAATAACACCGAGGGCAAGTTGCTTTCATCAGTTGATTTTCTCAAGCTTCTTTTTAGTGCTTTTGGTTTTGGGCACAGCAACTTATGCAGACCCTCGCTTGCTAGTTGTGTTTAATAGGCTATGCAATGTAAAACAGTTGAGTCTCTTCAACAAATATATTTTACATCGAATGAACATGTATTGACGCATGATTTCGATGTGATTAATACAATGGTGAAGTAAATTTGTAAGCTAGCAGCTGGGATGACAGCAATGGGCAACAGTGCTTAAGAAAATACCCCCATCTCTATGCTTAACTTGATGCATGTATAAGCGTGTCACTTTCACTGGAAGAGGTGGTTCACCTCCCAAGGAGAATCCACACCCATAATTACACAAGAGAAAAGGCCAATATATTTCTGGCAGCTTATATTTTAACAAGAATGTTAATTGTGCATATATGAATATAATAATAAAAGATGTCATCAAGTCAAGGCCCGTATGTCAATTGTTATACTATTATTAGAGACTGTAAATAGCATTAAGTGTGAAGAATATATATATATTATTCTCCCTTTTAATGTTGTGTGACAGAACAAATTAAAGGTTGCTTTACATCTCGTAACCCGCATTTTATTATTTTCATACAGACAAAAATGATATTTTATTTATTTTTAGTCAAATAGAAATTTACTCTTCTTCTCGAAAAAGTCTTTAACATATCTTTTAAGAAGCATTTAATCGAATGTAAAGAAAACAAATAATCAAATAAATTGAGCTAAAAAGATACAATTGGAATGCTTTCTATAAAAACAAGATTGAGTTATCAGCATTCTTTTTTATTTTTGATGACCCCGTAGTTTTAGTTAGCTTATTCATACTTCAACTAATCATTCAATATCTTAGAATCATTTATCAAGTAAGAGTTTCAGTAACTACCCATATTAGTAACCAAGAAGAGACTCGAACTCATAAACCTCTTGAGTTATCAACATTCTTCGTTTCTTCAAATGAAATAAATAAAAACGAAATCAGGTAGTTTTAATTTACATGCCATCCATTCATTTTCTTGACTTTCAAACAGTTCAATCACATAAATTTTTTATTTTCTACGTTTTTTCAACGATAATTTTCAAAAGCTAGCTAGCTGCATGTTCATACGCTCTCTATAAACTAATGAAATATGAAAGCCGCATTATAATCTAGCATCCTAGACTTATTATTGGGTTAATTATAGTGACACATGGATACTACAACTGTACAACATGCATGCGTTTCTCCGCAATTTGAATTTCAAATAAAACCCTAAAGTCTAAAGCCCCATTAGCAGTTCGCTTAAATACTTGGTCCCTCCCTCTATGTATTTATGTCAGTAATGAAGCTAGTCTTTGGCATTTAGTGAATTACGATGCATTGAAGCAGAAGATATCTCTTGAGTCATGCATTTAGGTAAGCAACCCTTCTCAGTATTATGTTGCTTCACGATATATAATATATTGAAACAAGGATTCATTCATTATCACATTATTAGAGCCTCAAAAACAGGCATTTCCAATAAAAGTTTCGTTCGAATTGGAAAGTGAAAAAAGCTTAACAAATTGTGATTTTTTGTATAATTAATAGTGAATAGTGGAGAAGAATAATTTCAAATATAATTTTATTTTAAGAAAAACTGACCAATGTGTTTTCTTTTCTTCCACTTTGTTTTTCCTCAAAAAAGGACAAAGGAGAAGACGAAAAACAGCAGAAAAGCATAATTAAATACTCATTAAATTATCATTCAAAGGACTTCCACTTTCGGTTTCTCTCTTATTTATATATCCTTAATTTTATTTCCCTAACAGGCCGCCATCTCTCCCTTCAAATTTCTGTTTCTCTGTTTCTCTCTCTCTCTCTCTCTCTAATGGAAAACCGATTCAAGTTACGAATCTCCCGCATGTTTCGTGCCTCATTTGGCTCGTGCCGGTCCCGAAACATATCGGACGTGATCGAAAAAGCCGTTTTCTCCCCTCAAAAACACAAAAACTTCCACATGATAGAGCCTTTATCTCCAAAAGCTCGACCCTTCCCTTCCATTTGCAAACCTAGATGCCCAGAAGCAACTAACATGATCGTTGATCAAGGTTGCTTTGACACTCTTCCCAGACGTAAAGTGTCAGAGCAATACTCTCCTTTCGTTTTAGCAGCTAGTGATGGACGCATGTGCCCTCCTGCCTCGCCCATCTCGCCACTGAATCCATTTTATTATGAGTATAAACAGTTTGGATTCAAAGAGAAAGAGAAAGATTCTTCGAAAAACAAGAAAAAGAAAAGGAGCCACGTGAAAAAGACTAGTAAGAAGAGAGATAATAACATGTGTACTTTTAGCTCATCTTCTCAAGATAGTTTTAAATATGGAAGTTGGTGGTTTAGCAGTGATGATGAAAGAGAAGATGAGTCTGAGACGCTTTTCTCTTCAAGAAGTCTCTCTTCAGACTCCTCTCATGAGTCTATCCAGCACCAACGTTCTCGCCGGAAAAAGCGTGGAACTCGCCGTCAAAGAGCCGCTTCGAAGAGTAACGATCAAATAGGTATGTTGCCACTATCAGAAGGAAAAGTGAAAGATAGCTTTGCCGTGGTGAAGAGTTCAAGTGATCCATATAATGACTTCAGGACATCAATGGTCGAGATGATTGTGGAAAAGCATATATTTGCAGCCAAGGATCTTGAGCAGCTCTTACAGTGTTTTCTATCTCTCAACTCGTATCATCACCATAGGATTATTCTTGAGGTTTTTACAGAGATTTGGGAAGCTTTGTTCACTCTCTAACTTTTTTTTTTTTTTTCAAAGAAAACTCTAGTTGTTTTTTTCTAGTTTGTGTTTAATTAATGAAATATTGTAGTTTAGAGTGTTTCTAACTTAAACTTTAATTACTAATGAATTATCTTTACATTTCCTCTTATTATTTCTCTCTTTTCTTTCTGATTATTTTATCAATTTTTCGTAATAATTTTAGGTTACAAATCTCCATGCTATTACATTGATGTGATCTCTCATGTTGGATCTTCTTCTCTTTTTTGTCTGTGTTTCTCTTTGTCTAACCATGGATTTTACTTCGAGAGATCTGTGTTTGAAAAGAATGAACAGAAAAAGGAGAAAATCTATCAAGTCTGGAATCAAATAGCTGTTTTTTTTTTATGCTTTTGATGAGGAAAATTTGGTAGCAATTTCTTTTATTCTTTTGAAAAATATTGATGAGACAAAATGTCATGGATTTTTCAGAAGGCTTTAGAGGTTGAGTAGACTTTTCAATTTGAAACTTGAAAAGATAGCGATAGTAGCGGTTGGTTTGATTGGAAAACAAATAAAGTTGGCGTACCCATTTTCTTGTATGGATGGACTTAAGTTTGGCCTTTTCACACAATTCCGACAATAGATAATGGGAATTTAAATCCCTTAATTAATCTTTTATTATTGTAACTATGTAATTTGAAATTAATGTACAAACATCATATTCAAACTCAAAGAATGACCCACTTGTAGACAGTCCAAATGAAGGAGATGCTTAACCAAATATAGATACATAATTAATTAATAAATTTAGATTACTAACTACTATTGATATGTTTAAACAGTATGTTAAATTGCAGAAATTTGGGAATTACGGATCATGCATGTATAAATAGTTTCAGCTTATAAATAATCACTAGGTGACATGACGGTTAAAAAAACAAAAGCAAGTTTCATGAATTCTTGAGTTCGAGTTCTCCCAGACACTAGTAGGAGTGGTCACCAAGGCTCTTACTCGGTCAATAGTTTCAGGGTTTTGAAGAATTAGTTGAGGCGTGCTTAAACTGACTCGAACATCCCAATGATAAAAAAAAAAAAAAAAAAAAAAAGTTATAGCTTATAAGGTTAATCCATTTTGTTTGCAATCTTCCATTTTTTGTCGATTTAACTTCTTGGTCAAACTCACATGGAAATTGTTCACTCGATGTCCTAATTAATTTCTCAACCTCAGCAAGATTTATCCGTGTATTGCTTAGAATCCAATCCAACCTAATACCAATCAGCAATTTAAATACAAAATCTCCTGTATTATTGTTTTGTAATTAGAAGATGTACAGGTAGATAAAAACGAAATACAGCAGAAGCTTATACTAAGAAGTTTGAACGACCAAAGATGCTTCTTTCAATCATTGATGCATGACTCCTTAACTTTTCTCACAGCCTTTAATCTTCATTTATATTCAATTACAAATTAGAACACTAAAATATATCATCTGTTACTGTTAGTAATGCAGCACAATTCAAAACCAAAAGACAATGACGGGACATCCATATATATATATGATTAAAAGAATCAAGGTGCATTATTGGCAAGATGCCTGCAGACAAAAGAAATCTAAATTGTTTAATTTTTATTTTATAAATTGCTCAGTACGTATATAAAAGAGACCAAATATGTTATTCAAGTAATCAAAGTGTTTGGTACATCCAATTTTGTTGTATTATTAACCAAAACAATTTATTTAATACAATCCCCTTGTTTTTAGTACATGGAAAAAGAGGCAAGACAAAACCAATTAACACAACCCTCCCACCCAAACATCGAACAGGGTTTTTGTTTTGTAACATAGCGTGTCATTCCAACCTTTTCCAACATTTTTTCAAACTTGAAACACAAAAAGCATATAGAAATATGACTTATTACTAGATTAATTTAATTTCTGGCTGTAGTAAAGCATGTGGGGGCAGGTTTAGGTATACATTTTTAGGCTTGAAATTCAAAGGAAAATGCTTTTAACAGGGAAGAGATTTTAACACAAGAAAAGCTTTTGAAATTGAAAGGTCAAATATACTAGTGTGTGATGTACAGAGATATGTCTGTTTCATATATATAATAGGTGTGGTGGCCAAGAAAATTGAAAAGACAGAGAAGACACAACGGAAGAAGAAAGTATAGTGCCAAAACTGTTAGAGGTTTTGCAGTGAGGATGTGTACCAATGCCTGCATTTGTATTGTATAATTCTGTATATATACATACGTAGAAGAGCAGTGTGGATGTAGCATTTAATGCGTTTCTGTAATTGATGGTAATGCTACGTTCTTATTATATAGTTGATGGTGAACAGTGAAGTGAGGTTTCCTTTTCGTAAAAATCTGAGTCTGAAGACATTTACGACAAAACTGTGGACCAATTCCGATATTGACAAAGGAATTCCCCGATAGGATGAATATTAAAGAATGTCTGATACCGGCTATGTTTGATCTGTTCATTGGGTTAGCACATCTCTTTCTCATTAATTGGCGCATTTTTTGGGTTATTGAGCCCCCAAATTCCCTTATCTTTTCCTCTACCTACATTCTACACTTTTTCTCAAACGCCCTAGTGAGTTGCAAACACGTGCTTCAACTCGCACGGTCCAAACTCCATAGGCCTGTGTGCCACAATTTTGGGCTGCCTGGGGCTTCATTTTCTCTAGTGCCATGCCAGCACCTTCAACAACGATTTAAAAGGGGGAACGAGGCAATTTCTCCAACTTTTTATGTCTAAATAACACATTTGTTAAGTTTTCTGAAACGGGGGCCTCCTCATTGAAAAAAAAAAAAAGAAACAAATAGATAAAATATACAGTATTGGGTCACACAAAGATTAAAATATAACTGATTATTTGAAGGAGATGGTTAATATTAGAATAAAATATAATAGTTTTATAAATTTAATTAATAATGGGGCTTACAAAAGATTTGACGAGACTTAAATAACACCTCTAAAAAAGTCATACTGATTGCTTCTGATGACTGCAAACGAGGTCGTTGGAAAGCCCCCAATAGCCCCATCTCATTATTTGAGTACATGATGACTTTCTGGGTTCTGTAAAGACCAAGTCCACGTTGTAGCATTGGGCTTTTGTCAAGCCTTCTAAATACCTGAAATTGAATAGAATCGGCTACTGTCAATCTGTGAAATAATATCATTGGTTAAGCCACAAACCACAACTTTGATTTAATTTATGGGCTATCTCTTTGCTTCTATTTAGCTGATAAGGATATTGCAAAATAAAGTACAGGAACTTTTATATACAAATTGATATAAAAGGAGACAAGTATCTTATTAAACAATAATTATATGTTTTTCATTTTCTGGGAAGACAATTAATTGATATCAAAGAGTACTTTTACTGAGATTAACATAAAATAAAAAAGAATGTAGAAAGTGTAGGAGAATGACAGTCTTTCCGCAATGTGATGAACAAAAGGAAAAATAAGAATAGAGAGAGACGTTTGGGAGGGTGGTTTTGTTTTATGTATTATTAGTATTACAGAAAAGTCATCAGGAGTAGTTGGAGAAGGAGAGAGTTGAGGCGTGGGGGAGTGGCTAACCTTAAGCAAGAAGCAGGGAGTTGTTAAAACGAAATGAAAAAGAAAGAGCCGTGAGAGCGCCGCCTAGGTCACACTCGATGATGAAGACTAGTTCCAACTCCAGGACGTGTGGCCTTTTGTGTATGGTCTTAAAACTCTTCAATGCTACAATTTGTTATAATTCAGATCCTGCAGCTGTTCTGTAGTCACAGTCACCGCCAATTCTTCTGCTCTCCATTGACAATAGTACTCCATCTCCATCCATTTGCCAAACTATATTCTACATTAACACCATTCTTATATATTTTTACTTTTAAATGCAGGCCAATAGTCATTGGATTCAGAATCATACCTTACAATTTTTATAAGAACTTTAAAGTATAATTTGATGGATTTACGTGCGGGTAAAATTACTAGTTTTATATACAGGAAGATTAGAATTGATGACGGAGACCCAGAATAGGAATCTTTGTAGGGTAAGGGTAATACCCTGTCCCTGATGTGTCAGGTTAACAACCAATTAATTCTACAGCTAAACACTCAATATCTCTTAAATTTTATTGGTAAGAACCGCGGAACAGAAAATGAAAATAGGACAAAAAAGGTGAGTGGTCTAAACGTTAAATTAATTTCTTCAATCTTAAAAGAATTGTTCACTCAAGTCTCATCAAAGTTAATGTAGCAGCTGTTAGATGTTTGTATTAGATCAGTTATTAACTAGAAAAGAGATTTATTTTGTTATCAACTTATCTGGTACTGGCTTTATATGGTAACGTATTGCTATTACCCTCTTTATTTATTTATTTTTATGGTCGGTGTGTTTGAATTAACTTATATGCATATCAATTAAACTTTCAAAACCTTGAAATTATCGATCGGGTCAGAAATCTAGTAGCTATCTTTATTAGCACCTAAAGAAAGACTTAGAACTTAGAACTTAGAAACTTTTGAATAATCACACAAGAGTTCCTATCAAACTACTTGATCACCTAAAGATAGTTTATTATCCTCTTTATTTATTTACTTTTTGATGATCGATGGTGTTTGAGTCAACTTATATGCACCTTAACTAGACCTTCGAGACTTTGAAACTATTGATCAGATAAGAATTATAGTAGTTACCCTCTATTAGCATTCGAAGAGAGACTTGAATTCAGAAACTTTTGAATAATATATACAAAAGTCCCTATCAAACCACTCAACCACCCAGAGATAGTTCATTACTCTCTTTATGTATATTCTCTTATCATATCATTGACAAATACATATTAATTAGAAGTTTTTTTTTTTTTGGGTAATAGAAATATATGAACTAAAAAATTGTTAAAGTATATGGAATCTGATTAATAAGAATTTGTAATGTTATCTCGATCGATCCAGTCCAAAATCAATTGCTTTTGTAGAATTAGAAAAGGGCATTTTTTAATGAGAGGATTGATAAGTCCAGCTAATTGCGTGATTGACGGGATGATGATTGTCTCATCTCATTTGCCACTAACCATGAATATTATACTTTAGTTATAAAACAGCTCAGATCATATGGGAATTGAAATGTGAATTTAGAAACAGCCAAATAATGGTTGAAAGTGCCAGACCAAAAGAATTCAATGTAAGTAAAGCACCATTAGTGGGGTCAATCCTCTGCGTTGTGTTATTTAATTAATTCTCCACTTTTTTAAAGGGTAAATTTCATCATCCAACTTTTTACACTGGTGTAAGTCAAACAATTAAGGGAGAAAATACGATCAAAATACAGTTAAATATGTAATGTACTTATAGTATAGATAAACAAGTAAAGGCAATCAATGAGATTAGCTAACCGAGAGAACCAATTCAACAACCGCACCCGCTCCTTTCTTTCTGCTAAAGAGCTTACACACCAACTCCACATTCAAAGAAAAAGCAACCAAACCATATATATATATACATATCATCACCAATATACTATCACAAGTTTTCATTTTTTTTTCCATGAGAGAGAGCATTGTGGGGACTCCTGGCCACCAAGAACAAAACACAGAGACAAGAAGGGAGCGTGTCAAGAAAAAATAACATAAAGTTGAACTTGAACGTCCTAAAGAAGGAGGGATATGACTTGACTCTTCTCTCTTTTTGAGTTAAACAATCTTCAACTATTTAATGACTCTCCAACGTCTCTTATCTCTATAAAGAAATCTTCACTGACCTCACCACCAAGAGAAGCCAGAGAGATTGATCGTCTGTGACTGAACGGCTACTGCTCTTCTTGGCTTTTGCAGCAGGTAAGAGATTAAAAATAAATTAATAAAGAATATTTCTTACTTATTCCCCTTAGAGCCACCAATGCTGCTAAGAAAATCCATTTCCAACACCAAAAAATTCTTTCAGAAAACCATGCAAAATTTGAAGTCTTTCTTTTCTGCCACTGATCATTACGAAAGAATACCCAAAACCCCTCCCTACAATCCAAAATCTTTTAATTCTGTTGGCGTTGAAATGGATATCCAAGCCAGTTACAAAGAACTTGACAAGTTTTACACTGACTTCACCAACCAATGGGAGTCAGAAAATGGGAAACCGAAGAAGAGATCGGAGAAGAAGAATAATATAGCATCGTCGCCAATGAAACAAGAAAAGGAGGTTATAAGCGGGAGTTTCATGAAGCTTACAAAGTCAAGTCCACTGAAGAACGACAAGGATCAGATCATACCTGGAAGAGAAACGCATCAATATTCTAAACAGAAAAAACAAGAAGATTTAGATGCATGTTCTGCGGGTACAAGAGAAGAAAGGAATTTTTTATTAGTGGAAAAGCTAAAGGAGCTAGAGATGATGGATATGAGCAACGTGGATCATTTGTTAGACATAGAAGAGGTTCTTCATTACTATTCTCGCCTCTCCTGCCCTGTTTATGTCGACATTGTTGACAAGTTTTTCATGGAAATGTACGCAGAATTTTTCAGTTCCTCGGCAAACGCTCCAACTCATCATAATATCAGTTCAAGGCCCAAGCTACGATCAGAGAGATTATAGAATTTTCTCATATCATCCACTGACTCCAAATTTGATGCGAGAAAAAAAAAAAAAAAAAAAAAAAAAGAATTTGGCTTTAACAACATTCCTGGTTGTACCGCTTTTTTATTTTTCATTGTTTCCATTCGTGATTGTTGCCGAGTCTACCCTCGTTTACAATTTCTGCTGGTTGTTAATTTTTTGATTTAATGCAAAAAATTTCCTAAAAATTTTAATTGTTTTGCGTTTCTTGATTAGTGCATTTAACGGTAGTTGAAGAGTAAAGTATAGTTAATTATCTTATATTGTTTCTTAATATGATAAAGCCCAGTTAAAATTTTGGTGATTGTTTAGAAAATAACATATTTTGCACATAATGAACTCTGCAAGAGATTCATTATATTGAGGAAAAGGTGGTTAATTGCAAAGATTGAATTAGAGATTGCTTAATTCTTTCATTTCTTTATCATTAATTTTGCCTGGAAAGTCATAATGAAAATAATTGTTTCCTTGTTTATTTGTTAATGATAAAGTCCCGGTACATACTAAGCACTTTTTTCCAGCGATAATATATTAGATAGTAACCCCGGAACTACCATGAAAACCAGTAACCACTACAAGAAATCTCGGTTTTTACAACTTCACAATTACAGGTTTTAAATATAAATGGTGTGATTGTTTAGTATTTACAGCATTTCAAGTATGAAATGCTATATATTCACATATTAAATGTAAAAATGTTATAAATAAAGGAGAGTGAAATGAACTTTTAATATCTTTTATCTTTACAACTTTTCCAGATAAATTTTAAGAAAGGTTCTAAGTATTTGGAGGGGAGACCAAGGAGATAATTCTCAAATTTCATCTCCCATTTATATCCTTCATATTACTTCCCTTTGCCTTTCTAATCTCACTTTAACACTTTCTTCCACAATTGTCTCCTTGAATATTTCTCCAAGTAAGCAAGAGAAGTTAGGAACTTGAATCATCAGTGAATCTGGCCGGCTTTCATAGTCACGGCGGTGTCCAGTCAAAATCACTCCAGCCACCAGATTAAGTTAAGATTTCTTCCTCTGTTTCCCAACAAATTATCACTTATCTCTCCGATCAACCGAATCTCTAACATTGACTTCTCAATCTGTCTTGATCTTGCTCTCTTTTATTCACGGTCTTCTTTAAATGCTTCTTTGAACTCCTCCAGCCACACTAGCTTTGTATTGATAATAGTTTGAGTTTTGTTGATATAAAAATCTGCACCAACCAGAGAATTCCGATTGATCATGTCAGAATCGGAACGGATGTGCACGTGATTTAATGAAAATAAGCAATGTATGTAAAAATACAATAAAGTAAACACAATAAGAGTTTTAAAGTTGTTCGGCGAGGTTAACTCTGAAGCCACGTCCACTGTTTTTGCATTTGCTGTGAGACCTTACAATATAATTCCTATGTGAATTCGTAACCCCTTCCTCAACGTTTGAGGGGGTTTATATACAAGATTTGTACAAAGAAAAGAGCGCAATTAAGGGGATTACAACTGATCTGAATCGCAATTCTGATATTCTCACGATTGGGCGCTGTGATTATGCAGTGATCGCTGTTGATCTAATCATTCCCATAATATCTGGGATTTGAAGTAATCTAGGGATTGATTGAATGATTATCGATCAATCATTGTTGCCGAGCTAGTTCTAGGTTGAGCTATATCCTTGCGAAGGCCCGAGCTTGATGGAAAAATCACACACAACATCTGCCCCCTAATGTTCGATGCTCGTTTCGGGCTTCGAAGATTATTGCTCGATTTGACTTCAAGCTTGGCCTCATCAGCAGGTCTCTGAGTGTAAGTTCGATCAAGCTTCCAAGGTCGACCTTATGTCTGGCCGACGTACTTCATGCTTGGATCTTTACTCTCCATGTTACCTATCAAAACTCAGAATATGAAAAGTTAGCGCAAACATGTAATTTTTGCGTGGTCGTGTCGCATTTAATGCAGTAGCCTTTGGTTGTCAAGTTTCGTCGCGTGTGGGCGACCACAAATGTTCACGCGTAAAGTCGAGGCGACGTGTGGTGACAGTTATAATTACAATAGTCTAACAATTCATCGCTCCTCACGGATGGTCGACACATGGCCACGTCTGAGGGCTGAGATTGCTCGACGAATAAAGGGTTAGGATCAATTATAGGTCGATGGCCATGATTGAACCTCGCTCTTTCGTCTCCTATGCAAACCGCTATAAAAGGTGGCGAAAACTATCAAAATAGTTACTCTGAAAGTTCTCTGACTCTCTTGCTCTTTTCGCCTCGCCGTTGTTTCTACATCGTCATGGTGGTCTTTCCAGCAAGTTGTTTTGCATTCCTCATTCCGATAAGGTTCTTTTCCCTTTCCTTTTCCGTTCTTTGCATTTTTTTGCATCAAAGGGTAGCCATTATAGTGGCCATATTGTGTTTTTTAGGGTTTTAGTAGGGTTTTTGGGTGCATCTCCAGTGGTCTTGGGATTTACAAGGGTTTAACATCATGGCCGCCGGTGCCCTGGGTAGGTCGCGTGCATTCGTCGTGTTGCGTAAGCTACCTCGGGGGCCTGAAATGGAAGCGAGTGTAGAATGGTTGCTGATTTGTTTAAGCTCTGACACATGCTCGCTTCTTTCTCAAGTATCTGTAAGCAAACTACAGCCATGTCTTCCTCCAGCAGTCGTACGATAGATCACATATTCAATTCGTCGGTGGGCTCGGCAGCTCTTGGGGATGTGACCCCCGAGGTCTCCAAAGAATTCGTTGCCTGAAGCTCAGACCCTGACACTACGGGCTTGTCTGACCGCGCTTCGATCCAGTTGGCTCACTCTTAGCTGTCCTCAGCTCATAGGTTGCGAAAGGAACCTCAATCCTCGATTACCATCGAGGATCTAGAGCGCATAAAAGCGGTCTATGCGTCGCAGCTTAACCTGATGGTCCCGAGGGAGCACTTTCGGAAGAACCCTCTGTCTGGATGGGTGGCGATCTTTGAGACCCTTCTCAGGTGCGGGGCGTCCATTCCCCTGCACTAATTCATTGACAGCGTGTTAAGGCGATTTGACATCGTTCCTCTCCAGTTGTCTACTAATTCATACGTGATCATCGTCGCAATATACATCGCATACATGATCGATGATCTAGGCGAGCCATCCATCAAGGAACTCGTCCATCTATATATGCTAAAGAAAGGGCAATACCAAACATATTAGCTTTCCAAGGTGAGGAAGATACGTCTCACTGGGCTGGTCGACGTCTCGAAGAAGGTCTCTCATTAAGACTCACAGTACATCTTTTATAAAGCCTGAGAGACCGATGTCTTCGCTGCAGAAGCAAGTAAGGTTTTGACTTCCAATGTGCACGTGGATTGCCTTTGAGCTTTGTGCTCCATCAAACCGAGCTATTTTGTTTGTGCAGTTAACGTCAAGTAGAATTTCCTTTCGGCCCGAGCTTACAGAGGCTCCAACATTTTAGTAATCTTCCTGATGACCAACGTAATGTCAACGAGCTTCTCACGCTTCCTCATTTGAAGGCGTACGGCTTTTGTCAGGACGAGGCAAGATTCCTTACGATTTTAGAAAAAGGTTAAGTTGTTACTTGCTCGTGTTTACTTTCCCGTGCAAATAGGTCACTAATTTGTTTGCCTCTTTCCTTGCAAAGATGTAGGCTAGAAAACCCAAGGGCCTTAAGAAAAAAACGGCGGCCGTCGAAGCCACCGACTGCTTTGACGATGAAACAGCTCGACAAAATAGCTTGTGGACACTACCGGCTCAAAGCACATCGATAGCGAGATTGGGGGAGGCCTAAGCGCTAAAAAGCCCGTGACACCCTCTAAGGCCGTTGGCAAGAAGAGCGTTGTTGAGCCCCAAAAAGGGCCAACGAAGAAGACGCCCGAGCTAACTGGAGGTTCGAGAAAACATAAAGCATCCGAGCAGCATTATGGCTCGAGGAAGAAGAAAGCAACCGAGACTCAAGGGGGCTCAGGCAAGCAGAAAATGGCCGAGCAGAAAGTTGGCTTGGGCAAAAAGGTTGCCATGCATGCTAGCAGCCTTCAGAGAGTAGCGACCAAAGACTTGGCCAAGAAGAAGTCTGCTCTTGCGGGCGAGACAGACACTGCCGGGGGGAGTAAGTATGGATTACTCCGGCCAAAAAATAAGAAGATGGACGAGGCGGCCCATGCTACGGTTGATGAGATGATCGACCAAATCCCCGATCACATTGGCCTCAGGGCCGCAGTGGCCAAGGATGTTGTCACCTTACGAACTTACACGGCCATTAGGGATGTTGCACCCATTGAGATGTTGGGCTTGGTATGCAGCTTCACGGCAAAGGTACTGGTAGCTTGCTTCTTTTCTTTTTTACTCGTATGTTATCCCTGCTTTTTGCTGATTCTCTTTTATTCTCTCTTTAGGCTGCCTTGGCAAGCAGACTCTTCTATGATGAGTGCTACGACACTTTGGAGGGCACTCATCGAGGATGGCAGGCAGTGGAGACAGTGAAGGAGAACGCTTTAGCCAAGGTCGAACTTGTAGAGAAAGAAAATGAGACAAAGCAGGCTGAGCTCAAACAGCTTAGAGGGGAAGTTGCGACCTTCCAGGTCAAGGAAAGGGAGTTCCTTGATGAACTCAAAGTGAGCGAGGTTGCTCGGGCCAAAGCTGAAGCTAAGGCCATAGAGGTCAAAAAGACTTTGGCACAACAGTTGGGTGCCAACAACAAGCTGAACTCTGAGCTATCATCGACTCAGAAGGCTACTGCGAGCTGGGAGGCCAAGTTCAAGCAGTCCTCGCTTGACCTTGCCCAGGAGGTGGTAGGTCACCAAGAGGCCGAAGCTGATGTCAAGCCGCTCGGGCTTCAAATTGAAGAGCTGAACGAGACCATTACTGCTCGGGCTTGGGAGACATCCGTCTTCCTTGTTAAGAAGTTATGGGAAGTCCATCCTTTAACCAACTTCTCTTTTCTTCCGTGAGCTTACTAGAAGGAAGTTGAGAGGATGAAAGTGAAAGCTCGAGGAGAGATCTATGTTTACTCAGATGACTCCGAGAAAGACGGCGAGGGTCAAGAGGAAATCGAGGAAGGCGAGGAAGAGGCCAAGCCTCGGATCGAAGTCGAGGATTCGAATCCCCTTACCACACTTCCCCCAATCGAGGCTGCCAACCTTGGAGAGGAAGTCATCATTCCTCCTGTCGACGAGACATCTCTCCTCCTCGATGACGACCTTCCCGGATAGATCGAAGATGAAACTCCTACGCCCCTGGCTACCTGAAACATCATCTTTTTTGTTTTTTGTTATTGCCCCAGGCTCGAGCAGTAATGGTCTCATTCAGCTCCTTAATTTGAAGCTCGAGCTACCTAACATCAGCTTGGGCCTCCTGACAACCTACTGCCTTCTGAACAAGGTCAAGCGAGGACTATTTGAACTTGGCCTCCTAACTCGAAAAGAGACCTATGTTTACTCGGACGACTCCGAGGAAGAGGGCTAGGGTTAAGATGAAATCGAGGAAGGCGAGAAGGAGGCCAAGCCCCGAATCGAAGTTGAGGATTCAAATCCCCTGACCATGCTTCCTCCAACCGAGGCTGCCAACCCTGGAGAGGAAGTCGTCGTTCCTCCTGTTGATGAGCCATCTCTCCCACTCGACGACGACCTTCCCAAATAGGTCAAAGATGAAACTCATGCTCCCCCAATTGCTTGAAACATCATCTTTTTTGTTTTTTGTTATTGACCCTCCCCCCATTTGAAGAATGTAATCAAACTCAATCAATATAAGAAATTTTTTATCATTTCCTCATCGATCAATAATTATCATTTTTCTGCGGAGTCATTTCATCGTCCTAGTTGGACTTGTAATATAAAATCCGAATTTGCTCTAAGTCATACGTAGCTTGCTTCTTAAGGAGCTTTTTCGGATTTATGCGAGGAAATCTTATGCGCTGATCAACTTTGATTTTAGACTTATCATCCTTTTTGAGTTTTTTAGTCGCTAGCTTGAGGCTGATTTCTCTCAACGTGTTTTTTCGTAAATTTTTTCAAGTTGAACTTCATCGATTTAGGATGTTTCATCCTTAAAGAGTTTGATTTTGGCGTGGCCTTTTCGAGATAAGCTGCATTTTTTGGACTCTTGACTCTGAGTTTTCTTTTTGGGATATCATCACGTAGGACGCGATTTATGGATCTGTAATTAAATGCTAATGAACTAAAGGCGTTAATTACGGACAAAGACGATAGTGAATAATATCTCTTTTATTGATCAAGTGTTTTTGCCGTACAACGAATATAGAACAGTGAAACCCGAGCTGCTTATTGGTAATACCTTCGCAAGTGCTTGGCATTCCAAGCTCGCATTATCGCTTCGCCATTGCGTTCCAGGTGAGAAGATCTTGGTGCGAGCTTTTTGGAGATCCTAAAATGACCTTCCCATTTGGGCCCAAATACCCCCAAGTTCGGGTTTTAGATACCCTAGACGACCTTCCTAAAGACTAGATCGCCCACCTCAAAGTCTTTGTTTTTTACTTTGGTATTGAAGTATTGTTTGGCTCGCTGTTGATACGAGGTAAGCCTTAACTGAGACTTGACCTGATGTTCTTCGATCAGGTCTAGTCTCAGGCAGAGAAGGTCTTCATTTACTTCTTTGTCAAAGGCTTCTCTTTGGAATGAACTGATTCCCACTTCAACTGGGGCCATTGCCTCACACTCGTATGATAGAGAGAATGGGGTTTCACCTGTCGAGCTCTTGGCCATCGTTCTATAGGACCATAGAGCTTTTGGCAATTCGTCGGCCCATCTTCTTTTAAGATCATCGAGCTTTTTCTTTATGGTGCGCTTGATTACCTTGTTTACAACCTTTATTTGCCCGTTGGCTTGGGGCTGATAAACGGCGGCGAAACTCTGCTTGATGCCGAGCTGCTCGCAGAAGGTCCTAAAGTCTTTACTGTCGAACTATTTCCCGTTGTCGGTTATTATTGTGTGGGGAATCCCAAACCAAAAAATTATGTTTTTATAGACAAAGTCTTTTAGCTTGTTCGACGTTATTGTTGCTAGGGGTTCAGCCTCTGCCCACTTGGTGAAATAGTAAATGATAACTACTGCGAACTTTAAGTCCCACTTTCCTTGAGGCAAGGGGATGATAAGGTCGATGCCCCAGATCGTGAATGGCCAAGGGTTTGTTAGAGTGGTCAATTCTTGCGATGGACCTCGTGGGATATCTGTAAATCTCTAGCATCTGTCACACTACAAACATAGTCCACTGCATCTTCATAAACTGTTGGCCAGTAATATCCCTGGCGAAGCACCTTGTATGCTAGAGATCTGCCTCCTATGTGGTTTCTACAAATTTCCTTGTGGATTTCTCTCAGAACATAGTTCGTGTCTTCATGGTTAATACATCGCAGTAACGACACATTGAATCCACGCTTGTATAATTTATCATTGATGAGTGTATATCGAACTGCTTTTGTACGAACTGTTCTGGCTTCAGTTCTCTCATCTAGTAATGTTTCATCCCTTAAGTAAGTGGTGATCGCATCCATCCAACCGTATCTCTGACTCGTAGCTAGGTCTGATTTTTGTGGAGCGGTGATGTTTGGCTTTGGTAGGAACTTGACTAGTATGGACTTAATCTTCTCTTGGCCCATCGTTGTGGCTAAGCGAGCTAGAGCATCTACTTGCGAGTTCTTCTCCTTTAGGATCTGGAGGACAATAGAGCACTTAAATTACTTGAGCTCGGTTTCCACCAACTGGAGGTAGGACACCATCTTGTCTTCTTTTGCTTGGTATTCCCCGGTAATTTGGTGGATTACAAGTTGTGAGTCACTGTACACCTTGATGGATTCTGCCCCCATTTCCTTGGTAAGGCGTATTCCTGCGAGCAATGTCTTGTACTCAGCCTCATTGTTGGAGGCGGCGAACTCGAATCTTACCGCGGCTCTGATTGAGTTTCCCTTAAGACTTTAGAGCAAGAGCCCCACTCCTGCCCCTTTCTTGTTCGAGGAACCGTCTACATACAAGGTCTATTGCCATAAGTCGTCGAACTTCAGCTTCTGTTGTTCTACATCCTTAGTGGTATCTGCCCCCGACGGGCTTACTTCGCCTTCTAGCTGGTAGGAGAACTCAGATATAAAGTCTGCCAAAGCTTGGCCTTTGATCGCTGTCCTTGGGATATATTTGATATCGTGCTGACTCATTTTCATTGTCCATTAAATCAATCTACCCGATGCCTCAGGCTTCCACATTATCTTCTTCAGATGAAAGTTTGTTAACATATGGATGGAGTGTGCTTGGAAATAAGGTTGTAGCTTTCTGGCAGCGACGACAAGGGCGAAGGCAAGCTTTTTCATTTCAGGGTATCTCGTCTCTGCGTCGAGCAATCTCTTACTCACATAGTACATCGGTCATTGAACTCTTCCCTCTTTGCGTACCAACGCTAGGTTGACGGCAGACTTTGATACTGATAAGTACAATAGCAATGGCTCACTTTGGATAGGTTTCGATAGTAAGGGAGGCTGTCCCAGATGTCTCTTTAGCTTTTGGAAAGCTTTCTCATACTCCTCTGTTGATTTGAAACATTTCTTCCCTTTCAAGGTTCCGAAGAAGGGTAAGCATCTATATGTGGCTTGGGAAACAAATCTACTGAGTGCAGCCACATGCCCCGTCAAACTATGTACCTGTTTGATACTAGTCGGGCTTTTTATATCGAGGAGAGCTTGAATCTTCTCCGGGTTGACTTCGACACCCCGCTGGTTCACAAAGAAGCCCAAGAATTTCCCCGAGCTCACTCTGAAATCACACTTCAAGGGGTTGAGCTTTATCTAGTACTTTCTGGGGATGTCGAACATTGCCACCAGATGCTCGACATGGCTGTCAGCGACCTTAGACTTGATGAACATATCGTCGATTTAAACTTCCATAATCTTGCCAATTTGGTCGGCAAACATCTTGTTCACCAGGTGCTGGTAAATCGCCCCAGCATTCTTGAGTCCGAATGACATGACCCTGTAACAATAAATTCTGCGGTTAGTAATAAAGGAGGTATGCTCTTCATCAGGCTGGTACATTGGGATTTGATTGTATCCCGAGTATGCATCCATAAAACTAAGAAGTGCATTCTCATCTGTTGCATCTACTAGCTGATCGATAAGCGGAAGTAGAAAGTTATCTTTAGGAAAAGCTTTATTTAGATCTGTAAAGTCAACGCAAGTCCGTCATTTGCCATTCGACTTTTTGACCAAGACCGGGTTGGCAAGCCAATCTGGGTATTTGACTTCCTTGATGAAGTTAATGTTCAGGAGCTTATCAACTTCATCCTTGAGCGCTTTAGAGTGCTCTGCATCCATAGATATTATTTTCTGCCTTATTGGCCAAGCTTTAGGATTGAGGTTCAACCTGTGGCACATTAACTCGGGGCTGATCCCTACCATGTCCGCATGCACCCACGCGAACACGTCGAGGTTTTTCTTTAGGAAGCTCTCCATATTATCGGCCACCTTGCCACTCAAGCCACTGCCGACCTTTAGTACACAAGTTGAGTCTTCCTCGATGACCCTTATCTCTCGCAATTCTTCTATCGGCCTTGTTACGGGCTCTTCTATATGGACGCGAGGATCTATGATATCCTCGAGTGGTCTGGGGTTCGGCTTAGATTCTGCGATGATCATTGTCCTTGTGTGCAGCCAGTTCTGCGTGGCATTTATAGCTCGGTTGTAACATTCCTGAGATTCCTTGGTGCAACTCTTGATCATTGCGACTCCTCCGGTAGTCAGAAATATCATTGTTTGGTAGCGCACTGATGTGACCGCGTTTAAATCATCCAAGATTGGCCTTTCGAGGATGACGTTGTATATGGTTGGGCAGTTTACCACTAAAAATTTGGTCATCACTATTCTGACCTTTGGCTCTACCTCTAGGGTTACCGGATGGTCAATTGGGCCCTTGGGAACTAGGTTGTTCCAGGTAAACCCATAGAGCGACGAAGGGCATGCTCACAGGTCCTTTTCTATGAACCTCATTCCTCAAAAGGCTCCCAAGAAAATAATGTTTGTTGCGCTCCCATTGTTGACCATCACCCTTAATGCTCTTGCATTGCTGATTCTAGTCGCGATTATGATCGTGTCATAATTGTGGTGAGGGGTTGCTTCGCACTCATCTACTATGAATCCTACTACTTCGCTTTCCTGTTTGGGTCCCTTGGGCAACTTTTATTCGCAGCTCATTACCCGGGGAACCAAGTTCGTTATGGCTTTCCGAGCATATTGCTCGCGAGCACGTCTTGAGTTCCCTGCTATGTCAGGTCCTCCGTAGATCATTTACATGAAGACCTCATTGGGATTTGGCGGAGCTTGCTGTGCTGGGTTCTAAGCCTGACTTGGGGCCTGGTTACTCTGCTCACTAGGATTGTCGCGAGCTGGTTACGCCTTAACGAATTCTTTTAGATGACCTCTTCTTATCAGGTCTTTGATGGCATCCTTTAGAGCTCAACAATCATTTGTGTTGTGCCCGATGTCCCTGTGGTATCGGCAGTACTTTGCCGATCTCTTCTGCCTGGAGCCCCCCTCATCCTTTCTGGAGCGGGTAGACTATTTGCCTCTTGGGACACTTCGTAGATGTGGGCAACATCTTAAGTGAAGGGGGTATATTTTGCATACCGCAGGAAAGGCTGCCTGTCCCCACGATTATCTATTCTCTGTTTCTTTTGGAACCTATTACGATCCCTGTCATTGCGGTCTCGGTCCCCACGATTATCTGATAAGTAATCTTGTTGCCTGTTCGGGGCCCCCTATGTCGAGCTTCTAGCCAATGTTGCCAGCAAGCTTTCTACCTGTTGGTATTTTGCAGCCATCTAATAGAATTTGGCTATGCTTACATGATCTTTGCTTTAGAGCTCTTTCCATAGCTCCGTGTTCAGCCTTATCCCTACGATTAACAAAGTTCGGATGGATTCTTCGGGGGCATAGACGAACTTTGCCTGCTCATTCTGGAACCTCGTTAGGTACGAGGTCAGCGTTTCATCTCTCTCTTGACGGATGTTACTTAAGTAGCTGAGCGGCATTGCGAACTGCCTCCTCGCTTGAAATTGTTGCAAGTACAGCGAGAAGAATTGTTGCCGAGAGTTGATGGAGTTCGCCTTGAGCCTCTTGTACCACCTCTTGCACCTCCGACTAACATGACTGTGAAGCATCAGCATTTTGCTAAGTCACTGACCTGGTGTAGCTCTATCAGGTCATTGAAGTTGTCGAGGTGGTCTCTAGGGTCCCCTCTCTCATCGAACTTGCTTTCTAACACCCTGAATCCTTGCGGAAGCAAGGCCTGGTGAACTTCTTCTGTGAAAGGGGAACTCACTACTTCTTCCGTTAGGTGGTTCTAGCGAGCTTTTAGATCGTCGAGCATTTTTAGCATGCGATCTAAATCTTCGTTGTGGTTACCCTAGCTAGCTTTGTTAAGTCTTAACTCGAGCAAATGAGTTTGCAAGTCTGTTGCTTGTGAAGCTCCTCCGGCGTGTGCGTTGATGTGCGAGGTCGAGTTATGAAGGCTAGGCTGATAGGTGCTATCATGCTCGTCAATGCGTTGCTTGCGATGTTGGTCGTAACCGAAACATCGGTCATTGCCAGACTGACGCATGTGACTTGCTTCGCGAGCCTGCGATGATCGATCTTATCTTGGGCATGAGTTAATACTTGTACACTGATGTTGGGGGTACTGTCGAGCTTCTCGATGGTGCCTATTGCCTTCACTTTCTCTTTGTGGTTGCTTCCCTGGCAGCCTCCCGGGGTTTGTTTGGCCGCGGGACTTGCACTCGTGGGCGAAGTGCTGTCTGCGAGGTTGGGGGTGTTGATCGCCCCTCGACGCTGACGAAATGGACCGTCCACCTGCAGAATTCATACCTATTGGGGTTGCATTGGTGAAGTGTGGCTGGTCGAGGTTTCGAGCACTCAGTTTCTAGTTCCACAACTCGGCCATGTTCTGTTGCACCGCCTGTGCAACCATCATGCTGATTATCTCCATCAGCTGGCCATTTTCGGGGTTTGACGTCCTTACCCCCTGATTGTTCGTGGTGTGCTGGGCTGGCAGCACAAGTGGTCGGTGTCCAACGATCTCCTATTGCACCTCCTGATGGGCAACTTCCACGTTTTTTAGGTTTCTAGTGGTGGTTTTTGATCTGGTGTACACCATTTTGGGCTTGGAATAGGTAGGTTGCTATGGATGTTTGTCGGAATCCTTGAGATGTTGGTAGAGGCCCTCCTTTTAACACCAAAATACTGATACAGAAATCTGCGCCAACCAAAGAATTTTGATTGATCCTATTGGAATCGGAATAAATGTGCGCGTGATTTAATAAAAATCATCAATGTATGTAAAAATGTAATAAAGTAAAGACAATAAGAGTTTTAAAGTGGTTCGGCGAGGTTAACTCTGAAGTCTACGTCCATTGTTTTTGTATTTGTTGTGAGAGCTTACAATATAATTCCTATGTGAATTTGTAACCCATTCCTCATCGTTTGAGGGGGTTTATATACAAGATTTGTACAAAGAAAAGAGCGGAATTAAGAGGATTACAATTTATCTGAATTGCAATTCCAATATTCTCGCGATTGGGCGCTGTGATTGCGCAGTGATCGCTGTTGATCTAGTCATTCCCGTAATATCTAGGATCTGAAGTAATCTGGCGATTGATTGAATGATTGCTCGGATTGCTCGTGACTAGCTCATGCTGGGTCGATCAATCATCATTGCCGAGCTAGTTCTGGGTCCAACTATATCCTCACGAAGGCCCGAGCTTAATGGAAAAATTACACACAACAAGTTTAATTAATATATTTGATTGGTGGGAGGTGTAAAGAAGTAGAGTTGAGAGTTTGATATTTACAATCTCTTATTGAACCATAGCTGTATTTTTTTTTTTTTTTTTGGGTACCCTGAGTGTTCAGGCCAACTTGTGCACACTTCAACTAATTCTCATGGTTCATTGAACACTTTATAAGCAAAAGACCAAGTAAGTCACAATGTAGTAGGTGGCCCTAAGGTTTGAATTCAGGAACTCAAGGAAGGGGGCAAACCTCCATGCCAACCCCTTGGGGTTACCATAATTGTATATTGTTTCTATAATTATCAATAAATGAGAATAAATTAGTAATTAAGAATTCATAATGATAAGAAAAAGGATTGTTAGCACTAAACCATCATAGTACTGTATTTGCCGGGCTACAATGGTGTTTTTACTGGTATTAAAAAAAAAAATTATATATATTATGCCATAGAGCATAGACTATATAATAGCTTTTAAATGCTTCTGAAATTGCTTTTGGAATGATTTGTTATAGCCTTTCTTGCAACTTTTACTAAATGCTGTAAATGATTCTTAAAATTTAGAGTTTATATAAGAATTAAAGGTTAAAGAATAAACAAAAATATAAAATAGGGAATGAGTGTAATTAGAATTTATAGTGTCATTATGGTTAAACTTATCAAAACAAAAATACATTTAAAACTACGGGATACTCATCAATTTCATGGGAGTTAAAAATCACTTCTTATATGTTGATGCAAAAGTACACCAACTTAAGTGATCCGATCGGCTTTTGTTGAGATCAAAACTGATGTGTACGCGATTACGGGTAACCAACAGTACATAAATAGAAAATGCAGTAAAATAAATAGCAAGAAAGTTTTTAAAATGGTTCCGCAAGTTGCACTCTTAAGCCTAAGTCCACTGACTCCAAATTCTGATGAGAAAAAAAAAAAAATAATAATAATTTGGCTTTAACAACATTCCTTCTTGTTACCGCGTTTTTATTTTATTTTTCATTTGGTTCCATTCGTGATTCAGTTGCCGAGTCTACTCCTCGTTTACAATTTCTGCTGGTTGTTAATTTTTTGATTTAATGCAAAAAATTTCCTAAAAATTTATTAATTGTTTTGCGTTTCTTGATTAGTGCATTTAACAGGTAGTTGGAAGAGTAAAGTAGTAAAATTACCTTTATATTGTTTCTTAATATGATAAAGCCCAGTTGAAATTTTGGTGATTGTTTAGAAAATAACATATTTTGCACGTAATGAACTCTGCAAGAGATTCATTATATTGAGGAAAAGGTGGTTAATTGCAAAGATTGAATTAGAGATTGCTTAATTCTTTCATTTCTTTATCATTAATTTTACCTGGAAAGTCATAATGAAAATAATTGTTTCCTTGTTTATTTGTTAATGATAAAGTCCCGGTACATACTAAGCACTTTTTTCCAGCGATATTATATTAGATAGTAACCCCCGAACTACCATGAAAACCAGTAACCACTACAAGAATCTCGGTTTTTACGACTTCACAATTACAGCTTTTAAATATAAATAGTGTGATTGTTTAGTATTTGTTGAAATAAAGAGAGCTTTGAGGAATCATATGATTGTATATTTTTGTGTGTCTCAACTATACAAAGGAGGTCTCTATATACAATGGAGAAGGCCGAAGTTAATAAGGAAAGACAATATATGGAAAGATTCTAACCTAGCATAATTACAGGAAAAATCAAATATTCTGGGGATATTATAAGATACTAATATATATACTAACAATATTCTAGGAATATTATAAGATACTAATATATATACTAACATCCCCCCTCAAACTCTTGGTGGCGAAGACAACTGGTGTTTGGAAACAAGATCACCAAGTTGACCAGGTGGATGGGATTTCGTGAAAATATCCGCAAGATTATCTTCAGAAGAAACTGAATGTAATTGGAGGACACCCCGCTGAAGATGATGGCGGATGAAGTGACAATCAATCTCAATATGTTTATGACAATCAATCTCAATATGTTTAGTACGCTTATGAAACACATCATTATGCGCAATCTGGATGGCACTACGATTATCACAGTGAAGA